GTGAAGTCCGCCGACGAGATCGACATGGGCTGCTCCACCACCCACCAGTCGACGATCTCGTCGCAACCAGGGGTGGTGAGACTACCCGGGTAGTTGTAGAGGCGGACGGCGTTGGTGTTCACCAGGTTCGAGTATGAACCACTGCAAACAAACCACAGAACACAAATTGTCAGCAACCTCTTCTGGCTTCCACAGGACCGCGAGGATCAAACTTACAGGCTCATCGTCGTCGGTGCGGCCGGCGTGACAGCTTCCATCCCGTCGAGTACCGAGACCATCCACGGGTCCGTCGCGCCTCCGTTGGCTACTTGCAAGAAGACACCCACGACCATAAGGGCGGAGCCGTCCGCGTTGCTGTGGACGAAGTGGACCTCTCCATCCAGCGGCTTACCGTTGAGTGTGTGCTCGGAAGGTGCGTGAATGTGGAACTGCGCCATGTTGTATGAAGCACCGTTCGCCGACGCCGCGCAGGAGCCTGTTTTCGGAATTCCAGTACAACAATTGCAACAATTAGTTCCCGTCGCCAAATAAGAACATTATTTCCGCAATATCGTACCGCCAGCGACGCTCGCCTTGAATGTGTCAGTCGTCTGCGTGAGGTTGAAGCTGGCACACTCGCCACTGAACGATAGTGTGCGCGTAGCCGCATTTCCTGTCGTGGTGGTGATATCGATGGGAGATTGCCGAGAACCCCCGCACGTCGGGTAGTGATCAGCCCACTGCGCTGGTCCAGCCATAGTGGCGTCGTTGGTCTTGTACCCCCATGGTGCGCCAGCAGCGGACACGGTGGTTTGGGCGAGAACGCAGGAGGCAATGACTGCGGATGTGGTGGCGAAGAACTTCATGGTAGTTGTTGCTGAAAAGTGATGAGGGTGGCGGTTGTTGTTGAGGGGAGATGCTGTCGATGTTGGTTGTCGATAGCAAATTGAGGAGTGAATCGTTTGGGCTCCGACTTTCCATGGCAGATGAGTTGATCGAGTGCAAGTCGAGGCGTTTGCTACTACATGTAGTAGGAGCATACTACGAGGTGGCCTACTAGTAGGTGGCCTACTAGGTTTAATCAAACGGAAGATTGTTGAAGCAGCAGTAACGGTGTTAGCAGATCGAGGTTTGTTCATCGATCAACGTCGTTGGTGTTCGTCGGTTAATCGAGAGCGAATAGATCACCATGTTGCTGTGAATGTGTGGCTGGATACTCTTTCCCCATACATGCGGTAGGCGAAGTGATGAATGGGAGCAATAGAATGCAGAGTCTACCATGCGGTAATGCACGTGGTAGGTTCCGCGTCACCACCATCCATGGAAAACTAGCACCGATTTTCACTAGCCGTGGTAATGCGCTGTTGCATTGAACGCGGCTTTCCACGTGTCCATAGGGAGGTTTAAATTAATTCGGTGGGGCAGGAGAGCGACCGAGGGTATTTGAATGGTTTAACAGGAGATGTAGCAATTGTGGTCTCAGTATTTTTGCATAGAGATTTGGTGAATGAGGGGTTAATGTCATAGGTGGACCGACCGTGTTCCTGAGTATACTGATATGTTGGGCTTTTACACCATTTAACAGTCATGCATTAGGCAAACATTGAAACCGCTATCTCATTGGTGGCATCGAATTGTGAGTTACCGTTGGTCGAGCGAGCGGTGCTACACTACTCACCAACAACGGATGGGATCCGTGCGTATGATTGTCAACGCTAAAGAATCTATCAAATACTGACAGTGCTCTATTACAGAATCTTGGATCCACCA